CATAACAGATAAGTACAATAGGAAATTTTTAATTTTACCAAAATGTATTTAAAAAATATTCAATAATTTTAATTTTTAGAGCTGAAAACTTAGAAATAAGATTATTCGAAAAATCTGAAAAAACATTGGCCATAATATTTAATTTTATTTAATAGATGTTTAAACTATTTTATGATAAAATAAGGTTCTCATAACATTCCAAATTTAACTCATTAGTTAATTTTTTGAATGCAATGGTATATCGTAGTAATTATATAAAGGCCTTAAGATCTAGAGAGGTTGATAGTAACAAATTAGGAGGAAAGGATACAAGATCGTGATTATTGGAGATCAGTGACGGTAGCAGCCAATACTCTCACAGAGTGTGAAGGCACACAAAAAGAATACACTGTCAGTTTTGAATGCCAGTCAAATTTTATGATCGACGAAATTCAAACATATTTAAATTTTTATCATCAGTCGAGATGATTGATTATGTATGTCTATGAATGTACAATTTTTCAGTTAATCAAATTGAATTATGTGAAGCAGTTGTTTTTTGTAATTTTGTATCTTCGTTAAAAATGGCCAATAAAATAAATAATAAAGAATTTTATTATCTTGGTTTTTTCATTTTATCACACTTAAGGTAAATAGCAATACCTTCTTTATTCATTTTAATGAGAATTTAAATTTTAAATTTTTTCAATAAATATTGAATACACGATACACCACATTTTCAATAGTGATAACAGTGTTAACTTATAAAATAAAATAACTGAATTACTGAAGATAGTCTTGATTGACCGTATATGATAGTTATCAGTTAGTCAATAATCAGACTTGACTGTCAATCATGTTGATTGTCATTCATTATTTACCGTGAATGAAGAGGGGAGGGCTTAAGACAAACCCAAAAATAAACTAATAGTAATTCCAATTTTACTATGTTTTTAAGTTTTGTTTAAGACAGCTAAATTTTAAAACCTTGTATAATTAAAGCATATATTTCACTTGATAAAACTAGCTATTTTAAATATTAAATAGTAAAAAAATTCAATTAAAATATTTAAAATTTATCACATTTATGATTTTTAAATAAAAATTAAATTAAAAAAAAATTTAAATAAATTAAAAATTTGTTTTATTATAATACATGTTCTATATTACTGAACTAGGGTATACATTTTTGTGTTCACAATTAAATAAGTAAAATGTATTAGAAAATAAAATATTTTATTGAGGTAAATGAGATTTATTTATTTTTCATGATATAATATACTAATAATTTTAACGTTTACAATTTGTTAATTTATTATTTTAAATTAAAAAAACAATAATTGGGGGATTTTCCAGATTTTTTTTTTTAGTATATCTATTTTCATTTATTTAATAAAATTATTATTTATGATTTTTTTCAATAACCTTCTAACATTAATAAATTTATTTCACCTTTATTATCAATATACAATAAAATATATATTATATAATACCTACTAAAATAAATTAGCTAATAAGTCACTAATTTATATAGTAATTATAATTATCTAAAGTGCTCAATAATCTAAAATTATTCTAAGTATAATTAAATGTCTTATACAATTAAATTCCTGGATAGACATAAAAACATAGTGGGTTGCATAGCATGCATAAAACCAAATACTATATATTCTACTTCTTAGGCTTGAAACAGACCATTTAAAATCCTATATCTACTTGCTAAATATTGTACACTAAATATATGAAGGAATATTTAACCATTGAAGAATCACTGGTATTTATAGTAATGGCTGTTAGTTAATTGATTTATGATAACTAATTTACATTATTTTTTCTTTAATATGTGGCTGTTCAATACTTCAAAGCTATTAAACAATTTGCCACAAAGTTTTGATAATAATGATCATATAGATACATTGAACTCAAATGAAACATAGTTCTACTTATTATATTAATTGTATTAACTCAGCAACACAATGTATAAAACTAACTGGAATTAGTTATTTAATTAAGAACATGCTACACACAGTTTTAAAAAATAACATAACTTACTGAATGTTAGTTTTAATAAAATTATGGTTATTAAAAACCATATTCATAAGTTATTTACTGATTTTTTACCAACCTAAATTAAAACAATTTAAAAATATTTTTTTTTTAAAAAAATGTAATTATAATTTAATGTATAAACACATGTTATGTGAAAATATTTTAAATTTAAATTAGTTAAACTTGTTGTAAAAGAACACTCAACATTTATAAATAACACCCCCTACATTACAAATAAAAAAATATATTAAAAACTTACTTATACTACATATAAGTAAAATTCTAGATATAATTAATATTTATTCAAAAATTAAAAATACTCAATGTCATATGAAAAGTGGTACATTCCAATATAGTAACTTCTCTCCCTTCTCACATCTATAAATAATTAAAAACTAGCAATTTGAGGACACTTGGGAGATACTTTATAACAACTCTATAAAAAAAAGAAATATTAAGAACATTTTTAATTTAATTAAAATAAATATTTATTAAACAAACTTTATTCATTCAAATACTTATATAAAGAATAGTCATACATTGTTCAGAAATAATTAACTTATAATAAGGAATTTCATATTATAACTTACAACTATTAAACCTTAATTTACTCTCAATTGCATGTTATTGTACCTTACAATAAGTGATGAGTGTAACATTTGTATTACACAATATATTTATTAGGGAAGTAAACAATTATTATACATAGAAATAATGTGTAAAAGGCACAGATTTACATAAATCAATACTTCAATCAATATTTAGTGGCTATTATACTAATATTTAATTTAAGGAGTAATAATGTTTAATTTTTATTCAAACAGATAAATTGATCCAATAATGCAAAAATCAATAGGTTTTAAGAAATATTTTATACTATAATTAAATTGATAGTTAAGATCTTTTAAGTAAGAAAAAACGGCTTTTACTTCTGAATATGAAATTCAGTATAATATATTACTCAATATATTATATACCATCTAGTACTTTCATAATGATTGCATAATATCTAGCTAAGATATAACATAAACATTAAATAATGCAATATTTGAATTGTATAATAAGCAAAATATGCAATGTTAATTGAACAGTTTTGGGTAATTTACTTTTTAAAACAAATTAAAAGTCATGCATTCATAAAGGTAATACATTTCATTCAAATACTTAACAAATCAAAATTTAAAGGGTGGTTTACCAAGAGTCAAAATCTTAAACAAATATAAAAAAAACATATTAAATTATGAACAGAAATCAAATACATAAAACTAAGTAAAATACACAAGCAGTAAAAAACTATAAATAGGGTAGATTAAATGCAAAACCCATGCTAAACTTAGACTTTCTCTAAACTAATATAATTAGTTAATGCTGTTTTTGCTCCTAGTCTCCATAAATGATAAAATATTATTGATATCAATAATTAACCATGACTCAAAAAATTTAGCTATGTAGTTACTTAACCTACCAGGGTCGGATTTAGGGGGGAGAAGACCAAGCCCCTTTAGGTCACTACTAAATGTGGTTTTTTTTGCATCCAAGTATAAAACACAACATAACATTTATAACAAAATTGATTTAAATCACAACTTGAATAAAAATGTCCAATCATTTATACTGTCATAAATTTATAAATCAATGTGTTATTAATATTTAATAACTAATAATATATTTATATATTATAATTGCTTAAAAATTTGTAGCAAGCTTACAAATATAAATTTAAATAAATTTACTACCTTTATTGTTTCATCACAATAAATAATTGTTTTTTTCTAACCAACATTTTGAATATTTGGAAATTTGGTTATTATATATGTGTAATAAAAAAAAAAATCTAATTCTAAGGGTGGCCCCAGGGCCCCACATTCTTAAATCTGGCCCTGGTACCTAAATAATTATTATTAAATGGAAATAGTAAATAAAATAAATAATAACAAATATACTCAACAGGATAGTAAGTAATTGGCCTGTTATCAATATTATTCTAGGTTCAATATGAAAGTTGAAAAATACATACTATAAGCATTGATTTATTATATTAAAAGTGTAAAAACTATATACTTGGTTAAGTATTTATTACATTGAATTATATAAAATCCACCGATAAATTTATAATAAAATAAAGAATTAAACATTTTTATTAGTGGAAAGTACCAATATAATATAGGTTTATGTTGATAAGAATTTTTTTTATCAACATTTTCAGCTTTAAGATTAATAACAAAATCATAAATAAGAATAATATTGACAAAGATTTCTGTATTTAGTCACATTCTTGATAGCAAAATCCCATCATAAAGGCCTTCCTTCCTAAACTTTAACCTACTCTAGTTTTTTGCCCTGTACATAATTATTTAATTCTTTAAATATCAGTTTTATCGAGTACCTACTATAAACAATATTTAATACAAATAAACAAGCAGAAAAATTTGTGAGTTAAAGACAATATTTATCTAAACGAGGTTAGACTTGATAACATTTTAATTTATCAAAAAATATCAATATTGGTAATCGAATGTCGAAAAAAAATTTTTACAAAATTGAACCGACATTGAATATAGTAGAAAATACCGAGAGAAATGAGGTTTAGAAACGGACGGAATTAATCCAAAAATATAAAACGGAGCATAATAATAACACTGTTAAAAAATTGGTCGCAAGTGCTATCGCACTCGTACGATGCCATCGTGAAAAAGAGAAACATTGTTCGAAACCAATGCGGTGTAATCAAAAGGTTCGTTTCGAGCCGATCGCGTTCGTTGATCGTAAATTTCGTCAGGTGGACACAGCGACTAACGGAGCCGGCGGCAGAGCGAACAGGCGACCGAATTCCGCCGTGCACCGCGCTACCGATTGCTCCCCGACAACGTGATTATTACATTTATAGTCCGTCGCCGTTCCGACGGATTCCCGTCGACGAGTCGAAAAGGGCAACATTAGAGTCAACAGTTAACGGACAGTGAAATGCTTACATTACGTGTGTCGACTGTTCGGTTGGAAATATATATCTGTCCAGTCCGACAAGCGAGTGAGCGAACCAACGGGCTGTTGCGGCGACGGTGCGTTTTCTAAGGTGTCTCCACGACGTATGTGCCCGTTTTCCGGTCGTTAGAAATCCAACGAGAACAATATGATCCCGTTTCGACGAGGGGAGGGTCGGGAAAAAACACGACGGCGTTGAGGGTGTGCGCGTGTGCGGCGGGACGCGGACGACGGGTTACGACTGGTGGCGGTTACGGCAGTACGATAATGTCGTCGTCGTGTTGGTCACAGGCACGGTACTGAGGTGCGCGCGACAAGGGAACGTTGCGCGGAACTGGTTGAAACACGGCGGCGACAACGACAACTCACGCCACTGTGTGGCTAATGTGGCATACGGATCAGCCACAGTGGTCGTGTTATCACGGCGGTCGCGTGACAGTGTCGACAACGTGACGTTTCCTCTCTTTCGCTCGTTCGCTCCCGCTCCTCTTCCTCGCACGGTTCTGGTCTCCGTCCCTCGAACGCGCACTGCACACTTTGGCGGCAAATGGTTATTTATTTTATTATTTTTTTTATTTTTTCGTTCCTTACCACGTCCACGCGGCATCACGACACCGCAAAGGTCACGGTCGCTGATCGTCCGTCCGTCATGATCGAGCGCACATGCGATACATACGAACAGAAATATCTAAATGCGTAGAAGCGACCCGAGCATTTTTCCCGTACGGAATCTGCTCCGGCTAGTCGGTGCCGGGTCTAGAAAATCGGACCTCCGGGTCTGGTAAAAATTCAACACCTCCTTTTACGTACGGGGTGAGTTCATGACTTTGTGTTTCATTTTATATAACCTTGAAAGCGCCTGGAATAAGCATGTCCACTTGCCTGCCCCCTTGAATTCAGAAATGTCGGTAGTTCGATTCGAGGGTTTCTGGTGGGAAATGTTTTCGAGGAGAGGATGAATATAGTCGTCGTTAAACAGATGGTACCGCACGCACACTTCGTCGCGATCCTTCTACCCGTCGGCCTCATGCACGAAAGGAAACGGTATTTGTCGCGACAACATTTTCCCTTGCGTAATGATCCCGAACGATCAAAATTTAACAATTCAACGGTGTGACCGAACATATCGGGACGTGACGTGAAAAAGAGTACCTACTATGCGATTGAAAGCCGTAATGAGGTATTGCCACCTACCTGGTGAAATCCATCAGGATTTCATAAAATGTACAACAAAATAGTAGCTATCTACATGTATAATACGTGACGAACAACATCAATAGTTAAGAACCTACTCTTTTTATTCGATCAAATTCAATATAGTTTTCAACATAACATTGCCAAGTTGTTATTTATGTCTGATTCGGCGAAAAAAAAAATTAATTACTTGGACTCTTCTACCACACTTACTAATCGGATGCTAGTAACTTGGTTGTAATTGATACCACCGTTACCTCCTCTTACGCTAAAATGTTACCGCGCTATTAGAAGGTTAAAGAAGGCTTAGCCCCCCCCCCTCTCAATCATCGAATTTACCGAAATATTTTATTTTAACTTTGTGTAATTTAAAATAATTTTAATAGTATTTACAATATTCTTATTATACTTTTAAATTATATTTATTAATATTAAGTTGTGTTTTAAATTTTTCTAATTTTTCTATTCGATTTTGGTGAACCTGTAGCTCCAGCCAACTATTAATCCTAGGTTGCGCCTATTTTGCTTCAAACGGAAAAAATCGAAGACCCGATGGAACCGTTATGGTAGTATTATTATTTTTTATTCTGAAATATTATAACATCCTCCGGTCATTACCCCACCATAGCTGATCGTGTAATTTGCTTATATAATCCGTGTTGATTGTCGACCAACATCGAAACAATCGTTTGTCGTCGATGCCTTCGCATATTGAATGAAAAAAACTATTTGATTAAATTACGTTTTAATCGTCGATTTATTGAGCGAGAAGAAAACAATATGAGTATATTAGTAAATATGTATATATATATTATAAAATATATATACTTATATATATAGTATAAATATTAAACACTAAACACTAAGCACATAATTATTGCGATCTTCACGGTTATAATATATTAACACCTATATTATACATACACGGTACTAGACAATATACAATACAGTATTATACTACATAGTTTTTGTTTCGTCGTCATTGCATATTAGTATCAAATATCAATAATTATTCATACTTATTAAACATTTGTAAACACATACTTGTATTCACTGCATTACTATACATATTAATTGTATACCAATAAATAATTTTCGATAAATTATAATGAACTATAATTTTCCATTTAAATGAATTAACATTATTTCAACGAAGTCCGAATAGTACAATTATCACAACATTAGTAAATCGTTTTTTATAACTAGAATAATCTATTGTATTTATGTTTCGCGGCTATTATGTTTTTACATCGTGCACTTCGACCAAAATTCTAATCTAAACATTTACAAAAATGTGAATCATTTTTTTAAAATTACAATCTATACATACATTTTATACAATATGAAATGTTTTTGAAAGAAAAATAACGTTGATTATAACAGAGAGGGAGAGTACTCAGTAGTATCACCCAACAGATCAAGCCAAAAAATCTAAATCTAGGCCAAGACTGTTTCAATCTTCTTTTAGGATTGTCAGGAACTGTACAAGAGGACAGTTGTTTAATTAATAGATTAGTATGGTGAGTTAGCTTGAAGTGAATTGAGTGGAAGCGGGATTTAGTTAACTAAGAAAGTATATATAATTTTAAGTCGATGAGAAGATTGGCATTTTTATGTACCATAGGGCAAAGATGATTTGACGGAGGCATATAGATTGAAAGGTTTGTATAGTACACATGTTTGGTGGTTTAGCGGAGCCCCATATCTGGATGCCATATGCCCATACTGGTCTTATTATAGCTTTTTAAATAACAATTTATTGCTGGTCCTTAATTTGAAGCGGAGAAGTGGGCGGACCAAGTTAAGTTTAGAGTTTACTGATTTCCTGTTGTTTTTGAGATGTTGTGCCCATGTAAGACGTTAAGCTTAACGTTAAGCCCAGATATTTGACTACAAAGGTTGCTGGAATTATGTTGTTATTAAATGAGACTGGAGTGCAGTTCCTAGGTCTTAGTAAAAAGGCAATAAAAGAAGATTTAGAATCATTTATTTTTATTTTCTATTGATTAGACCCGATCAGGATCTTGTTTAGGTGGTTTTGTCGGACACAGTTTGGGGGTTGTCGTTTTATTTTTCCAGTTACATTTAAGTTACAATTTATTACAATTATAAAATAATAATTAATAAATAATAATTAAAATATTTTACTCTTATGGGTTGCTCATCCTGTCCATTATTATAATTATTATGTTGTTGTATTTTTGTGATGAACTGAATATCTCTAATAGTTTTAGCTGTGACAAATAATCATAAAAATCATTACAAGAATATTTTTTTGAAATCATTTTTTAGAATTAAAATTGTTTTGATAGTAGGAACAATAAATCGATTTTTTTTAATCTGTTCACAATATATTTGCTATGGAAAATATTCTTTCAATTACAGCATTAGTTCCTGACATTATCAGAGAATCAGTGGCGTAACTGAAGGCCCGCAGAATCTGCGTTGCGGAGGGTAATTTGGCCCAAGGTAATTTGGTATCTTTGGTTAAAGTAAATTTAATTTCCATGAAAAAAAAAATTGAATAATTGTTTTTTTAAATTAAATTAGTGTTAATCTATGTTTATAATCTTATATATTAAAAACATTTATGAAAACTTAAGTCAGTCTATCTGACCGTTCTATCCGGCCGATTTCCTTCATTTTTTTTTAAATGGAAGGTATTTAGACACAGATATGTCATCAATCATGGAAATTTACTCAACTTCCATCAACGCGATTCTTTCTTGTACATTTCTTATGGAACACATTCACTCCAGCAATTTGAATTATCATAGCTCCTCTCTAAAGAATTGATTTTGATCGTTTCACTTTCAGAACACTCAGTGGATCAAACACTTTCTTTTGAGCTATTAACTGCTTAAATTTGTTAAGTTTGAGGAAAGTTATGTGTGCACAATCAACTTTACTTTCAACTTTTTCTAAATGCTACATTCTCATTGGCTCTTACCTACTGATATAACAACAAACAACTCACAAACAATACTAATATTATTACTTATATTAGCTTATATTGTCTGGAAGAAAGCATTGTAAAATTATTTTATGTAATAATTACACCCTCTCATACATAGTCTATCCTAATGCTTCGGAACATATATTTTAATAAACACTATGTCATTTTGATATGTCTTTCAATTTTCAATATTATACTCATTTATTGATTTGTTAAAATGTGTTTATGTATTGATCTATTGCGAATTTTCGCATTGGGTATACTAGTAATCTATTATTATTATTAAATATGTTCGTAATTGTATGGTAAATATGGTAATTTGTAGTACGTATAATCTTATCATGTAGAAATACCTACAATAAGTAATAAGAATATCAACTATAAGGTGTTTTATTACTCTATGTAACTAACCTGCCCTGGGGAATCTTAAGGACACTAAAATGTCCTTATGAAATTCAAAATTATATTATAATAAATAATTTTCTCGAAATAAAAAATATAATGTGAATTTTTCCGACTGTCTAATATATAATTCTATACTAGAACTTCTATGTTAAACCACCGAACAAAATAATCTAAAAAAATTAAACAAAGTATGATAATTTTTCGTGCACGGTGCCCGCTTAATATACTGATCGATACACACCCGTCTACCATCCTTACGACATAACGGCTAAAATTAAATAAGATTTTATTATTATAGTTTTGAATCGCCCTCTATCAGAATTTTTTTTTCAGCAAACCTGCCAGTGAGCAATCTATAGTATATATAAACAATGATAATATTAAATAAATATTGTTATTTTTTATTATATCATAACAAAATTGTAATTAAAATAAGTGATTTACCTATATCAGATTAATATTTTTAAACTAATATACCTACCTAAACAATATTTAGGGGACCATTTTTTATTTTTGCGGGGAGACCCACATTTTTTTGTCACTGCAGAGAATATTCTACAAACTTCCAAAAATTGTTGATAAATATAATTTTATTATCTAAAACTGTATAAATAAAACACAATCTTTCTTCGATACGAACATTATTATTCTGTCATTTTTTTAAATTCTCATTTACAACATTTACTACATGATTATATTCATCGAAAAAAATATCTTCATCCACTTTCAAATCGATCTGTTTTTCATTATTTTACAAAATAAAATTTAAACTTTTTTGAACATCATTCCATGTTGGGCAATTTATTAGGTCCAACGAAATATTTTTAGATCTTCA